TATTGGATAGCACAGATCACAATGTTATAAGCATGTCGAGTGAATTTGAAGCAGAGGGGGAAATGTGTGTGTGTGTGTGTGTGTGTGTGTGTGTGTGTGTGTGTGTGTGTGAGGAAATACATAGGCAAATTTATAGACAAATCGAATAAGGCGCAGCTAAGCAAAGCAAAGGTTAATAATGGGATTCCATTACATATATAGATGGGAAAGAGAATAATTCATCAAGCCATATTAAAGCTATCAACACTTTAATTAGAGTCTATCAATGTGATCAAGAGTATACGTTTATACAAACAAGATAGTAATCATAATATGCGAATTGTTACTATTCGAATAACATTGTCTGTTAAGTAAGGTAATACAAGAGCATAACCGGAATTCACCATCATCGAAATTGATTGTAAGAGAATTGGTATAATTGATTTTACATTGAGAATGACCATATGAAAGTGATCAATAAAGGATCCAACTGCTGATGTAATTTAAACTATTTACCGACAATTAAACACTTTTCTCAGCTTTTGATTGATATCATGAACCGATTGATGTTAGACTACCATTGAAAACCCCGAAGCACTGGACGGCCGTTTCGTCCTATTGTGGGACTCCTCAGCAGTGCGCATCCACGATCCTGCTCGCAGGACTCCAACCGAGGGCCTTCAGCCTCGCGGGCGAACGCTTAACCTACTGGACCACTGAGCTGGCATCCAATGGTATTAATGTCTCAGCTATTGTTTATTTCAATCTTCTCATTGATGTTTACAATTGAAGTTGATCAGTTTGTTATTGGTATATGTATATCCTGTGTGAATTGTGTCGATTTCTCTTGAATCTCGAAGATGGTTGGTGGTTATCAATGGGATCCAGGACGTATGTTTCGTCCTATTTGGAACATGTTTGGACTCTACTCCTAGTCATCATCCATCTATCTTTACTTATAATTTCTAGGATGTTCTCATTCTCTTCTAAAGGCCTACATCATTTAAAAACATGCAAAATGACAACATGAGGAAACTGTTTAAATCAAAAGTTATTCATTGATGAAGTGATCTGTTAAGTCATTTGTTACATAGTAGATCCATCATTACCTTCTATGTATTCGACAAAAAAAACAAACAAACCCAAAGAAGTAAATAGTCACTTAATTCATTTGAACATTTAGTTATACTAATAATCCCTTTAATTTCTAATCCTTAATGATCCTAAAGCCTGAAGCAAATTTGTCTAATAATTTACTGTTTCTATGTTGTTAAAATCAAATAAGAATATTTTTTTCACTTTTTTTTATTCCCGGAGAAAACAAACAACCAAAGAGAGAGAGAGAGAGGGAGACAGAGGGAGAGAGAGAGAGGGGACTATATGTACGTAAAACTTGTTTTCACTTTCATTATTTATCATTGTATATTACATACCTGAGCATAAACACATTGGTACTAAGTTACATTTTCATTTCTAATCCAGTTGAACTTATACCATGTATAAGATTGCCCTAAAGCATATATTGTGCCTATCAATAATACAAGCATACATTATTCACTTATATCTATATACAGGTAAATTGAATTGGGAACAACGATTTGAAAAAAAAAGAAGAAGAGTTTATTAATCCGATAATCAATTCAGATCCGACAACAGCGAATAAATAAAAAGGGGAACAACAACAACAAGGAGAAGATTTGACAACATAATTATGCAATAGCAACTATTTAAAAAAAAAAAGAAAAACAACAACAACACCAGCAACGACATATGTGTGAATGATTATTAAGGGAATAATCATAATCGTCATCATTACAACGAAGAAGAAGAAGAAGAAGGAGAAGGAGAAGAAAAAAACAACCCCATCATTATGTGAAAAGAAACTAGATGAATGGAGTGATCTATGTCGCCTATGGGATTTTAAATAATGATTAGTTTATCCAAGTTACAAGAGATAAATTAATCACAACTTGAATATGTATATTGGTATTTACAATGAATTGATCTAAGTCAGACTACCATTAAGAAACATCTAAGTATTGGACGGCTGTCTCATCACAGTATGAAACTCTTCAACAGTGCGTATCTATTATCCCACATGGGGAATTCAAACTCAGGATCTTTGGCTTCGTATGTGAATGCTTAAACTCTAGACCACTTGAAATCGGCAACCTATAATGTTAATGTAGAACTTCAATTGATTCATGATCTTTTACAACCCTTCATCTATTATCTGAAATGGATAACTGTCTCAACACGACACAGACTAATGTTTATAACAAATATCTTTTATGTTGACTTCATTAAATGTTCAATGATTTTTTATGGTTATAAAATCAGTATACTAACTTTATATCAATGACATGAATGAAAGCGACAGAGAACAATAATGAACAAGGCTTGAAGGATAGTACAACAACATTGCGGATTAGTACTAGTTGTCGAATCTTATTGACTAGGAACAACTTGACAAGAGACAAAATAAAAGTTTTTTTCTTAGTGATGGTGACAGTGATACCGATGATGTAAATTAATCTATGTTTTGTCTTCCACTAACATGTAAGTAGATCTTGGTTGACTTATTAAAGCTTCCTTTATCGTTAAGAGAAATCATACTGTTAAAAGTAAAGAGTATTTTAGTCAACTGTGTACTCAGTCACAAATGTATGTTTTCTTTTTGTGATTGGCACATTTATGATAATTAATGTTAATTATCACTATAAGGTTGTGGAGGTGATTGGCGCGAGCAGGATTGTGGATGCGCACTGCTGAGGAGTCTCACAATAGAACGAAACGACCTTCCAGTGCTTTCAAGTTTTCCATGGTTGTCTGATATCAATCAGTTCATGATCTCAGTAAAAAAAATCTCCACAAAACCCATTCTGATAATAATAATCACCTGTTCACTAGTGATTGACTTCAAGAGATACTCCTGGAGTTCTAGTGAGAAGCCGTTACCAGTAGAGTTCAACTAGGTCTGTTGTGAGAAATCAACTCACTGAAAACAATGGTGTACGGTGGCACAACTTCGTGGATTGGTTGAAGCTAGACATTAACACCGTTAGATGGCGGCTCAGTGGTCTAATTGGTTAAGCGCCTGGCGTGAGACTGATAGGTCCTGCGTTCGAATCTCGCGGAGTGCGGGGTCGTGGATGCGCAATGCTGAGGAGTCCCACACTAGGGCGGAACAGCCGTCCAGTGCTTCCAGGTTTTTCATGGTGGTCTAGCTTCAATTGGCTCATGATTTCAACAAGTGAAGTTTCTAAAAATCTCCATAAAACCCATTCTGATAAAAAAAATAACCCTATTACTACAGTTAATCGGAACGACTATTCGGTATTTAGTTACGGATTGTTTGATTAAAGTTCCCACCGTAAATTTAAATATTGATCGTTCATTAATTAATTATAACAAGTTGGTAAGTAATACTTCTTAACCTTATTCATTATTAACATCTTCATTATCTCTTTAGGTGTGATATAAAGTCACTAATCCATTATTCATGAGTAGAAATAGGATCATTAGAATAGAGTAAAAAAGATAAATTTACTTGGTGTTGTTTTACTTGTATCTTTCCACTGTTATTTAGGACTGTAGTTGATCAGTCTCTTGTTGGCATATGTGTCCTGGATTCCATTAATATACATTATCCATCTTTGATTATAATGCTTGTGACCTTAGGCTATATCGAGGCAATCCATACAGGATGTACATATGCCACTAAGAGATTGATCCATTACAGTCCTATACAACAATGAGAAGATTCAAGCAAATAATAGCAAGTGAATTTAAAGTTCACCACATTGCACAAATAGGTGGCTATCACGACTCAGTAGTTAAGTGAATAACACGAGTAGTAGTGAGTTCGAGTCCCGGGAGGGGGGGAACATCAAGTCTGAGATACAGGTACATCCAGCTGACGAGTCGCAAATAGGACGAGACGTGCGTCTTAAATGGGTTACATTCTCCAAATTGAATGATTGAATTATACAGTTTGATACTGTAAAACAAAAAGGTCTATAAAGTATTTACCTATAGATCTAATGAAAATTTTACGATTAGATCATTCGATTCGAAACACTGAACACTTTCAAAATTCTTTTTCATAAATTACAAGTCTTCTTCATTATTTTAGGACAGAAACAACTAACCAACCAACCAACTAACCAACTCATGTTAAATTTGAATAAACTTCATCATTACTCGTCAACATATCACCCACATATTTTAAGATTTATCCAAATGGGTACAAACACACTGCGTGTATACATCATCTTACTTGATGTGTGGGTGGATAGAGATTTTTTCTGTACTAACTAACTAACTAACTAATAATAATAATAATGGTAGTAATGGTAAAACAACTAGATGAAAGGAAATTTTCATGTGGGTAATAATTATTACAGATGCATATGTATAAGTTGAGCATAGAGAAGTGTACACTGACGAATGTCTAAACAATAATCAATATTATAAGAAAAGAAATTACTATTGAGAAATGCACTTGAAGTACTCAATTAGACAAGATAGTTCCGGTTTTAAAAAAATATGCCTATCAGTATTAGATGAATGTACAGTCATACAGGAATTTGTCTGAATGTTTTATCCTTCAAATAATAATAATAATAATAAACCACTTAATCTTCTTCCCACAATAGTCCACTATCATTAATCATAAATAAACTCAATTATATAGATAAGGAAGATATCAAGTGAATCCCCCACACCACACCATCCCGACCCCACCTCCACTCCCATGAAAAAGAGGAATTCTTTGAAAGTATTGAATGTGTCCATGTGAAAATCAGTGTGAAATCATTCATTTCCCCTAAAAATTATCATTAATTAATAGATTTATATAAATTAGCTGGACAACAAACTGATATCGATTTTCTCTGTAATTTATTAAGTGAGAAATGTTGATAATTAGGAAGGTATATATCAATCATTAATTTCTAATTAAGTAGTATTAAATAGGTTGAATTCATTAAACATCAACTCGGTATTTGGAACCTTCAATTTTAATCATCATCATCATCATCATCATCATCATCATCATCATCATCATCATCATCATCATCATCATCATCATCATCATCATCATCATCATCATCATCATCATCATCATCATCATCATCATCATCATCATCATCATCATCATCATCATCATCATCATCATCATCATCATCATCATCATCATCATCATCATCATCATCATCATCATCATCATCATCATCATCATCATCATCATCATCATCATCATCATCATCATCATCATCATCATCATCATCATCATCATCATCATCATCATCATCATCATCATCATCATCATCATCATCATCATCATCATCATCATCATCATCATCATCATCATCATCATCATCATCATCATCATCATCATCATCATCATCATCATCATCATCATCATCATCATCATCATCATCATCATCATCATCATCATCATCATCATCATCATCATCATCATCATCATCATCATCATCATCATCATCATCATCATCATCATCATCATCATCATCATCATCATCATCATCATCATCATCATCATCATCATCATCATCATCATCATCATCATCATCATCATCATCATCATCATCATCATCATCATCATCATCATCATCATCATCATCATCATCATCATCATCATCATCATCATCATCATCATCATCATCATCATCATCATCATCATCATCATCATCATCATCATCATCATCATCATCATCATCATCATCATCATCATCATCATCATCATCATCATCATCATCATCATCATCATCATCATCATCATCATCATCATCATCATCATCATCATCATCATCATCATCATCATCATCATCATCATCATCATCATCATCATCATCATCATCATCATCATCATCATCATCATCATCATCATCATCATCATCATCATCATCATCATCATCATCATCATCATCATCATCATCATCATCATCATCATCATCATCATCATCATCATCATCATCATCATCATCATCATCATCATCATCATCATCATCATCATCATCATCATCATCATCATCATCATCATCATCATCATCATCATCATCATCATCATCATCATCATCATCATCATCATCATCATCATCATCATCATCATCATCATCATCATCATCATCATCATCATCATCATCATCATCATCATCATCATCATCATCATCATCATCATCATCATCATCATCATCATCCTACAAATCATCCAAATCTAATATAAATGATTTGTAGTTGATTCTGTCCAAAAAAGGAGTTGGAAAGCTTATTGACCTTTCAGGAAAAGAGAAGAACTTTAACAAAGATATACGAAACTGGAGCATTGAAGAAATTAAATTGATTGTATATGTTAGCGTTTTAGTTTGTTTCAATTCGTGTATAATTAGGGATTTTAAGGCAATTATACTTTACGAAGCGAACGGACACGTTACCAGTCTACTTCTGTACAGCTACACTAGGGACATTTCTATCGATAAACTTTGTAACAGTTCAAAAGTGATAAGTGAAATGATCTATGCACTAGAATGAGATTTGTTTAATAGCATCGTATGTATGCGTTGCATACATATTATCGAATACACAAGTCAGCGACCTATACACCTCATAGTACACACATAGGTATGGATACGATTTGTTTTTTGTGCAACAGATCAGAGCTCAGTACTACTAGGAATTGAATGAGGTGATTATCTTCAAATCATCTAATGAAAGTAGTTTGTTGATGATCTGCTTCTTCATGTTCATACTACAAACAAGTTTAGTATCCATCTTTGCACACTGGCTATAACACAGTTTATGACTATCACTCTGGTTTGCACCAGATCTAATAGGCCTTCCTAGAGATAATTCTATCAGCAGTATAACATTAAAATGAGAGATGTTTTCTGAAAGCTAAAATAATTATTTTTTTTCCCCTAAATAATCTTGATAATAGACGAAGCTTATAATATTTTTTACACCAGCTGACATTAGTTTAGAAAAACAAACCCCCGCCACCACAAAGTTGATCAATAATCTCTTCGGTCTGCTAGGACTACTAGATTTTCCAATCTCGCCCCCCCTCTCTCTCTCTCTTGTTTTATGTAACGCTTGTTATTTTTTTTTTCAAAAAAAAAAACAACCTTAGTTACTGTCAACTAAACCAAATCAATCTTTTATCCTACCTACCTTTAAAAATGTTGACTTCCCTCTCGTTGTTTTATTCTTTTATAGTTTCTATCTTTCTAAACTTGTCATATTATAAGTCTGGGAATATGAACCAGTTGTTTTTGTCAGTTCTTTAAAATAATCAGTATTTATTAGTTAATAATGGTTTATTCGAATATTAGTTTCTTATTGATTATATCATATTAAAATGAAACATATACGAGTACACATATTCAGCTTAAAAGAAAACTCAATATGAGTAATAAACAAAATTGGTTTCATGTTTGTTTGTTTGTGTTATGGGGATAAAAAAGCATCGTAAATAGAGATGGATAGTGACTAGTCATGGAATCCTGGAAGTTCGTTTAGACCTACTTGTGACTCATCAGCTAGATGTGGGTGGGTGATCAATGTCATGTGTGTCAAGTCCTTCTCAGTGAAGATCGAATGAAATCGACCAAGTTGCAATGTGGCCACTAATCTAGGTGAATCGACATTGTGTGTACTATGTTGAGATAAGATGATGGTTGAAGGTAGTCAACAGGAAACTCTAGAGCAGGGTTTTGTGCTATTTGGTAGTCGTCAGCAAGGTGTACCCGTAACCTTGAGGGAACTGGTGCTCCCTGACGGATTCGATACCGTGTCACCACATTGCAACTTGGTCGATAGGATTCGATTTGCACTAAGAAGGACCTGACATGCATAACACTGATCACCACCCAGCGATTAATCCATTGTAAATACATCTCAGTCCCACATGAGGTCACTCGCGGCCCGGATAGCCCAGTGATAATGTCTCTGACTGTGAAGCTGGGTGACACGGGGTCGGATCCGTTAGGGAACATCAGTTCTCTCAAGATTTCAGGTACACCTTACTGACAAGTGCCAAATAGCACGAAACCTAGGTTCAGAGTTTCTTGTTGACTACTTCCAACTTGACTACTTTCACACATGCTGAAAGTATACTATAAACCAAGTTGTCTTTATAGTGATACATTGAATAATGAAGAGTTTTACATTACACAAACAACGAAACGTTTGAAATTATTCAAATATTTGATTCCTAGATTATTGTTCCCTTAGTCATGTATCTATTAATCTTTCAGCAACTCTACACTCTAAGATTGTAAAGATCCAATGTAAAATCATCTATCGAACTATTTATAGATGGTACTTTGATAAAAGACTTCCTGTAATAAAAACTCTTCGACTCTAAGATAATTGAATCCGTGAGTCAATTACAGCTAAACCACCATGGAAAACCTAGAAGAACTGAACGGCCGTTTCGTCCTAATATGAGACTCCTCAGCAACGCACATCCATGATTCCGCACACAGGATTTATTGTTCATTGTTTTAACTATTCACTTATATATTATCGATAGTTGAAATCATGAGTCAAGTGAAGCTAGAACATCATGGAAAATCTGGAACACTGGATGGCCGTTTCGTCCTAGTATGAAGTTAGACATTAACACCTTTAGATACCAGCTTTGTGGTCTAATGGTTGGGCGCTCGCGCGCTAGACTGATCGTTCTTGTGTTCGAACCTCGCGGGAGGGCGGGATCTAGGATGCGCACTGCTGAGGAGTCCCATACTAGGACGAAACGACCACAGAGTGCTTCCAGGTTTTCCATAGTGGTCTAGCTTCAATTGACTGATGATTTCAACCACCGAACTTCTCAAAATCTCCACAAAACCTCTTCTGATTATATATTATGCTTAAAACAAATTCATCTGATAAATACTCTACTTAATAATTTCATATGATTATAGTTTTATTATTTTAGTCCAAAGAGAAATCGATTATATTTGCTCTAATCAACCAAACTAAAAAACAAAAAAACAATTAATGACTAAATCAATTTAATCCATTTCCTGTCAAGTTGTACATATAGATATATAATTGTAATATTGAAAATTATACAAATGATCGATCGATTCAGTATTACCCTATCTGTATATAATACAAGAAGGAACAATATTGACTATTGAATAAAGTAATTTATTCATTAACTCTTAAATGATTTAATAGTTGAGTTGATAAGTCGATTAAAGCTAGATTACCATGGATTACTAGATGACCGTTTTGTTCTAGTATGAAACTCCTCAACAGTGTATATCCACGATCCTACTCAGGGGATTCGAACCTAAGATTTTAGGTCCCACTCGAGAACACTTGACATTTAGATCACTCAGCCAGCATCTTAAATGATTGTTTAAAATGTTCAAAGTATAATCATAATGAGTTTAGAACTACCAAAATCTTATGAGGATTGTTTATTAGATTGCAGATAAATTTCTTTAAACTTTTATTAAAAAGTAATGATTTGCATAGTTAATCACTGAATTAGTGAGAATCTGCCCTTTGGTTAAAAGACGAATATCTCACCTACGCTACAAGTGATGCAAGTCGACAAGAGCCAATTGAACCTTCTGAATCTATGCCAGAATTTTACCAGACACCAAACCAACAGTACTGATAACACTTTTAAGATAAGTGAAGTGGTTTATGTATTTAACTACTTCACTCCCTATCCCTGATTCAGTTAACGGCATAAGCCAATCTTGAAGTAACATTTTATATTTGGAGAAAGAGAACCGTATCTAGTTATAACTTTAATTATCAGTTTAGGGGTTGTGGAGATTGTTAGGTTTTTGACTGAGATCATGAACCGATTGATGTTAGACCATCACTGGTAACCTGGAAGCACTGGACGACCATTTCGTCACGCGCGAGACTGAAGGCCCTGGGTTCGAATCCCGCGAGCGGGATCGTAGGTGCGCACTGCTGAGGAGTCTCAAAATAGAACGAAACGGCCATCCAGTGCTTCCAGGTTTTCAATGGTGGTCTAACATCAATCGGTTCATGATCTCAATCTATAACTTAATTCATTGTTCATTTTTCTAAGAAATTAATTAATTCGAAATTCGTTTGTTTAAAAAGGAGAATTTATATCGATTTTAACCATTTTTCACATGTATTCCACTTGTTTTAAAATCTACGTTTGGTTGTCTCCCCTGGTGTTCTTGTCCATCACATTATTACTCAACTGTGTATGCCAAAGTCGGTATGTTAGACAACTGTCTTATTCTGGTTTTAGACTTCCCAGTAGAGTATATATATAACCTTTCTAGCAATCTAAAGCAGAACTCTCTCATTTGAGTCAATTCATGAAATATAGTATGAGTGTGTAATAACTATCAACCGCCGAGGAACTGGAATAAAATAGATGTCCGATAACTTTAGACTGTCGATGGATTTCGATGTGACATCGATAAAAGGAAAAAAATCATCTTAAAATTAAGCGAATCGCTATAATCATTCAATCAAACGATAAAATCAGAATTTAGATTATGTATTTCAATTTTAACTTCATCTGATTAATTCCAATACAGTGTTCAGTCCAAACACAAATCTGTTCATTTTCCTTTGAGTTACACTTCCTTCTTATCTGTGATGGCCATTAATACAACGTGGGCTACTTGAATCAGACTAGGTGACACAATGTTCCAATATGTTGTTCAGAGGTTGAAAGTTACATACCTTAACTACCAAGTCACCTCTTCACTAAATTGGGATACATCTACTTACTTACTTACTTACTTACTTACTTACTTACTTACTTACTTACTTACTTACTTACTTACTTACTTACTTACTTACTTACTTACTTACTTACTTACTTACTTACTTACTTACTTACTTACTTACTTACTTACTTACTTACTTACTTACTTACTTACTTACTTACTTACTTACTTACTTACTTACTTACTTACTTACTTACTTACTTACTTACTTACTTACTTACTTACTTACTTACTTACTTACTTACTTACTTACTTACTTACTTACTTACTTACTTACTTACTTACTTACTTACTTACTTACTTACTTACTTACTTACTTACTTACTTACTTACTTACTTACTTACTTACTTACTTACTTACTTACTTACTTACTTACTTACTTACTTACTTACTTACTTACTTACTTACTTACTTACTTACTTACTTACTTACTTACTTACTTACTTACTTACTTACT